GAACTAGGAAACAGGATCCAAAGTTTAATACATGATACACATTTCCAATTATATTCTATTATCAAGGAGGACAGAGTTGTACTGAACTTAGGCAAGTAAGTCTATTGCCATGAATGAAAGAATACTCAGGAAAACTTTAGGAACTTTGAAAGTAAAACAGAGAGAAAGAAGTCACTGTTGCTATGCTCTTGGGTGTCCTCTTTTCATTTCCATTATCCACACAGTATCCACATGCCCTGTACACGGCTCCCTGGAGGAGGGAAACAGCTTGGACTCCTGCAAGCTCACCACCTGCTCCCTTTGGTCATCACACAACCACTGTGCCTTGTTTGAGGGACTTGGTATTCCTTCTGAGGTGGACATGGCACAAATGAGTTGAAACTGAGGTGGGGGTGTGACCTTAGGTCAGCAATAATGACAATATCATCTCACATTGTTATGCATTTATCAACTCAGTGCAAATCTTTTAAGAACTATTCACCTTCTGAACAAGTCTATTATAATAATGCAAAATACTTTATTTAGAATTTAATAACAAAGAAGAGGGGATGAGGGTCATTCATGTGGCACATGCATCTCAAGTTCCCAACTTTCAGCAGAACTGACGGGGTTGGAGGCTCTACACTGGTATAAACCAACATCCTCCCTCTGGACAGGATCTATGGTGAGGCTTCTGTGGTCCTCAGACAACTTCTTTCTCTCTGAGAGCTGCAGATTCATGCCATTGAACAACCACTGGACGGACACTGCATTTGTGAGACAGATGAAGATCGCAACACCCTTCTCCTCTGTGCTTGTGATGTTGGTGGCTAGAAGGATGGGTCTTTTCATAAGCTCTGTGGACAAACAGAGAAAGTGACTCATTTAGAGTGGGCTTGAGACATGGAGCCACATGGCTTCCTCAGAGATCTCAGCCACTCACAGTCCAGTCAGTTATGTAAATGCCACTATTGTGGGCCATTTGGGTTAGGTAGCTATAAGATAGAAATTTGGAAAACCTTGATTTTTCCTCATGTGAAAATTATGATTATTATTGTACCCCAAGGCCTAAGACCAATTACAAGAAAGACTATTTCATTGGAGAGCAGAAAAGGGTGTGAGACAAGGGTCTTAGTCCTGGTAGGGACAGAGAGCTTGGGCCCTATGGCCAGAAATCCAAGGATCTGCATCTAGGTTCCAGGCTCTGAAGAGATTTTGGATCATTAATTAGTTAAGTCATTAATTCATTTAATCACCACTTATTTCTTCCTAATCAAACAAGGGCAACTAGGGCAATTTGTTACAAGTTGGTCTCTGAGCTGGTTTCATGGGTAGAGTGGGGAGGGTGCAGATAAAGTCCTCTCCTTTATGGAAAGTGGAAGTGACACCAACACAACTGGAAACAAGTAATATCATCAAGTCCAGGGCAGGGAGGTGTGGATCAGCCATCTGGGGGGGCCTGTTCTTTGCAGTGGTTAGGATTGTTATTGCAGGTAATCAGTTTCTAGAGTAAAAACAGATTATTTCTCTTTTCCTTTTGTTCCCCAGACCAGAATGTATTCCTCTGAGCTGAGGACGCCTAACTGAAAAGGATTTGAATGAATGGTTGGTTTAGGAATCCACAGACACCTCCTAAGGCCTGGGGGTGGAGGAGAAGACAGGGCTATGGCCACAGACAGACATTCAGTGACTCAGATCAGATGATCATGTTCTCTCTGACTCTGCTTTAGTGACCATATATCCCTGACTCTCACTTTATTCTCAGTGAAGGGGAATAAATATTTGGCTGCCAGGTTGTCAGTGTATTCACTAAAGTATTGACAGTGTCTGACCTAAATCTTGGAATAGAAGAGCAGCTCAAATCAGAGGCATCTGTTGCTGATGGATTCAAGAGAGAATCCCCTGGGCTAATCCCTGATGAATGAGGAGCTGCCAGGAGCATCTTCTTTTCTCAGTTTTTTAATGGGGATGTTGACCTTTTCCTGAACTTTGCTAAGCCCCCCAGGACACTCAGCTAATTAATATTAAAAGACATTGTCTAACTTGCTCTCCACACACAGGCTCAGCTGATAAACTGAACTCCATTTCTGCCAAGGTGTGGCTCTTGGACCTGAGCCCTTGATGGTGACCACATCAAGAACCTGTGACTTGGGTACCCATTAAACCATTACCCAGTTAGCCTTTCCTGAGAGATCAAACCCAACCTGATGCAGGCTCCCCAAGGTCCCTGGAGTCAACGTCCCTGGACAAGGTCCTGGAGAGGGGCTTTGGAGGAGTTCCGTGAGAATTTCTGGGGGATCCTCAGACGGGGCTTTGACAGAGCCCTACAGGGTTGTTTGCCATGTGAAGGTCATGGGAAGGAGCTCAGGGTTCTGGACAGAGACTGGTCTCCCTGTGCTGAGTATGTCCTGTCAGACTGGTTCTTCTGTCTGCAGTGATTGTCTGTGGGGCTAGATTTAGGGAAGGGAACTGAGATCTCAGGAAGTTTGTCTCGACTCTGTGTATCCTGTATTAAATGGCAAAACCCAACTTGGGATGTGATGCAGAGGGGGATGGAGGCAGCGTCCTGCATTATCAGTCCTGTGTGTGAGTAGAATTCACCCCTTTTAACACCCAGAAGTCAGAGAGCAATCACTCACCGTATACACGAAGCTGTCCAAACCTTACTTCTCTCACTGAGCCTCCCGGGTAGACCTCTACAGTGTAGTTTCCTGTGTCATTCAGGGTGACATTTGTTAACATCAACGATCCATCATAGAGTATTTCTTCTTGCCCAGTGTATGCAGGCCCTCTTACATGTTTGTTTTGGTTTACATCAAAAGTAGCAATTTTGTTATAGGGCTTTGCCCCTTCTCCCCTGTACCATACGAAGCTTGTAACATCGGGAGGCGTATTGTGGAGACGTAGGCTCACATTTGTCCCTTCAGCAGCATTGGTCGGCACAACAGCAAATTGGGCGGTGGTGGGTGGGCACCAGTAGTTTAATATTGAGACTAGGTAAGAAAAATAAATGGATTAATATTTGGATCTAAGTATGAGGCTTGAAAAATATGAGGGCGAGGATCCAGAAAAAGTGTCTTCACCTCTCAGCCTCGGTCTACATGTGAGGATATATCTCCCATGGTCAAGGTCAGTGGCATGGAACCACTACTTCCACACCTCTGAACTTGTTATATTTTCTGTTTCAATATTCCTCTCCAGGTGTTCATCTGGCTCATATCCTCACTGCCCTCAGACCCATGCTGACACGCAGGAGTGACTTTGAGGGACACTTTTGATGGCTACTCTCTGTCTTCACTTTCTGACCTGCCTCTGCTCTGTTTTTCCATGGCATTTGTATGTACCCCATCTAGATCTTTCCTTTTCTTTCCTTTGCATAGCACATGAGTTCCATATGAACAGGGTCTTGTCTGATCTCATACCTCCAGTGTCTGAAACAAGCTACAGACACTGTGGGTAAATCAATGTTTTCCTAGGGCCGTGTACCTCGTGGAGTGTATTAGAACATATCTGAAGTGGGTGGTAAAGAGAAGTCTAGCATCCCTGGTTGTTTTACTATGGAGTCCTGATCTAAATTGTAATTATTATCATCAGTTTTTCTAATTCAATACTGAATGACGAATAATGTAGGAAATGAACAGTAGTTAAGGATTTCCTGCCTCTCACTGCTTCCACATTATGAGATTTTTCTCTGGCAAAGTCCCCTTCCCCATCCTACTGTGCTCCATTGCTTTTTACCTTCAGGTACAAACAGAAGCCCTCCCTCTTATTCAGAGAAGTGGTCTCTTTAGCAGACACCAGCCAGTCTCTGTGTGAGATCCTTAGTCTACTACCCCAAGGAATTGTCTCCTACTTACCAACCAGCAGGAGCCCTTGCCAGGGGACAAGTCCTCTGTGGGTAGAGGCTGAAGGGGATCCCATGGTGTCTGTTGTCTGCTCTGTGGCTGCCTCTTTGAGACCAGTCGCAGGCTCTGTTATTCTCACAGTCACCTCTGTCTGGAGTGGTAGGATGTGCTGTGTGTCCTACCTGTGCACTGAGCTTTATTCTGGGGCAAGATGACTAGTTTGGTCATGTGGGCTGCAAGGCGGGGTCTGTGCCTAGAACCCCGCCCACTCTCTGCCCTCATTTTTGCTACCCTGTACCTTCTTAACAGTTTACTGTCCTTTTGTGTTCTGGTTCTCTGGGTATTGTTGAGTCCTCTAAACATCACACACACATACACACTAGCACACACTCACAGGCTGTGTTGGAAAAAGCAGAGGCCTGGGCTGCCTGGCTTTCAGGCATTCCCTATAGCTCCCTGCCAGGTGCCCAGTAGCTTCTCTGTTTCACATTGGCCTTTGACCCTCAGAGCACAAATTTTTGAGCTACCTCCAGAAAAAACTTGTTACAATAATGTCATCAGTGCTGTGCACTGAATCACCTGTGAAACTTTGTAAACTTTGTGATGCTCAACTGCCACCTTCACACACCTGCTTCAGCTGCTGTCCAGCTAATGTGGATGCCCATTCAAAATTAGATCTCTTGATGTGAAGGTAGAACCATTTCTCCTGCTCTCTGTGCATAGGAAAAATGTGCAGACCCTTTTAACTGCAGATTCTGACTCAGTAGGGGTGTAGTGGACCAGTGACTCTATATGTAACAAGCGTTCAGGACAAGGTAATACTCCTGGCCTGTAAAATACACTTGCAAGTAAGGCTGACGGGGACACATGTGTCCCTGAAGGAATGACCCACTCAGGCCAGCATTGGCCTCTGCTGTGCCTTTGCCTTGTGTCTGTAAGCACCTCACAGAGAGCCCCAGGTGTCCCCAAATGGGGGTCGCTTGTGTTTGTGACACAGAAACCCAGCTGGGAATCCTGTCTGCTTTGTGTTCTCAGATTCTCTGAGAAGGTTTTATTTCCTCCCAGCAGGCAGGTCACAGAGATGACTCTGGGGGTGAGAAGGGGTCAAGCTGGGTGATAACTGCAGAGGGGACCCTTCTTCTGTGTCATATTGTCATCAGGATGGCTTTTGCTTCTAGGGACAAAGAACCAAAACCAGAACTCGGAATTGGAGCTGCAGTGTTGGGTGTGAAGTGGGACGTGTCCTGCGTGTCCCAGGAATAAAGGAATGTGGTGAAAGGTCAGTTGCCTGTGGGCTTCCTGGTGATGGAGGCACGGCTTCAGGTAAACCGTTCCTCTCCATGTCCTTTTGTGGGGCCTGTCCCTGGGCTCCCTGAGTGTTGGGACAACCTCTGATTGCTGCCTGGGAGGCTTTTCTGTGGCCACCAGACTTGCCCATGGATGATGCCAGGCATGGAGTAGAGAGCAGCACAGAACCCCTGAGAGTGAAGGTGCTCCGGGCCCTGTCACAGTAAGCAATGTTCACAGCTTTGGGGGCAATTTAATGGGTTTATCTGAGCCAAACTGACTACATATGGCTGAGAGCAGATCTCAAATCCTGTGAAGAATGACATTTTTACATCTAATTTATACATTATAATCACAGGAGATGAAAAATGGAGCATTGAATTTTTTAGGAGGTGAGGGAAAGCATAGCAAGGAAATCTTTAGAATTAGATAAAAGTCTAAAATAAAGAAACATAATATTTTACATTGGTGAGTATAGAACAATTAATATTTACTGGACATAGAGAAGGTATGCAGATGACCAGGTAATAAGAATTGTTGTGGGGTGTCATACACTGGTCCCAGAGTCTGTGCCTTTGAATGGTGGTCTAGCACACAAAAGAATGACTCTGATGTGTCTGGATTGTGCTCTCCAGGAGGCATAAAAACAGGGATCAGAACTCACCTAAGGTAAAGACTTACCTTTGCTAATGAAGTTTATAGGCCTGGGACACGATGACCTGCCATCACCTGCCCAGTTAGAAATTTCTGATGAGAATATTGTGTTAGCTTACATTTGGTCCCTGAGCTTGCCAGACCTGCCATGTGGCCCCTGAGCTTGTCAGGGTTGCTGCACAGCCCCTTTTTGTTAACAGTCTCTAGAAGTAGCCTGTGGGACAGAGCAGTCAGGAGGGAGGGCCCAGGAAAGGCCTGTTGAAGCAGGGGATGAAAATCAGACTCCATCTTCTGACCCTAAGCCAGGTTCATGTCTCAGTTTCCTGTGTTTTCATGTGTTTGAATGTTGTCCCTGGGAGCTCAGCAGTAGACTTGCCACCAATGTCAGGTGCTGCACAGGATGCTGACCAGTGCAGGGTGAGCCCAGTGAGAGGTTAGCTACTGTGTACAGTGGTATGAATCCAGTGACAGAAGAAGTGTCCCACCAAAGGTATGTGTTGCCTCAGACAGAGCTCTCTGCTTTCAACCATTCAAAGGAAGGGCCTGGGGAATATTCTCCTGAGGCTTTTGGGAAAGGGTGCGGGCCTGGAAGGTTGATCCCCTAAACTGCTGTGTCCCCATCATCATTTGTGGCATTGCAACTAAGTCATCTTTGTCCCTTTCATCTGATCTTGGCCTCCTCTCAGGGCCCAGGAGCTGAAGCAGCTTGGTGTGATGATTCAATCAGGGGCCCTGTGGGTTCTTCCATTAAGGGAATAGAGGTTCTTATGAAATCTTCAGCCCCTCTGAGATGGAAGCAACCACACATTCTGGGTTCTCCCATCCTATCCTGTACAAAATGTTTTTCTTATTCCTGAGGACATTGGGAATTGGTGAGATATCTTCAGAACCAACAGGCAGCTGTCTCACAGAGCAGCGATTCTGGGCATGGAAAGTCATTCCCTGATTTCTTCAAGGACAGTGTGTGCTCCTTCCTCCCCTGGCAGTAAGTCTACCAGGGGTTGAGGATCCAGAGTTTCTTTGAGGTCAGGTATCTGTGAGAACAGGAAAAACACAGGCCCTGGATGATGAGACAAAACCCACAAGGTGGGCCTGTGGAGGGCTGTGATTTTCTGGGAATAAAGGGTGGACCAACCTCTCATAGGAGGTTTTTCTTACCTCCTGACTGTACAGGAAGTAAATAACTGACCCTGGGGTGTCCTTAAGCCTGCAGTGCCTCCTCTCATGCTGATATCAATGCCTTAGTGTGTGGAAGAACATAATTTGACTGTAAGTATCCCACAGGGTGACAAGCTCTCATTGTGCAGTTTCCCTTATTGGTTTAATGAGTGTTTACTGAGCACCTGTTATGTGTCAGGCTCTTGGCTCGGCCCTGGAATCTCCAAAGAGAATAAGACACATGTGGGCCTTGTGCTCATTGAGTTTACCTTGTAACTGGGGTAGGCTCTCATACAAATCACAGCTTCAATTAATTAATTATAAATCAAGGAAGGGCCATAAAACAAAAGCACACGATACTTCTGGTGCATACACAGCATGCACCTCAGCTGGTCTGGGGATCACAGAGAGCACTTCTGACAAGCTATCATCTTAGCTAAGACAGGAAGAATTAGTGGCCATTTTCCCCTCTAAGAACAGAGGGTATATGGAAAGGCTGTCTGCAGAGGACTGACCTTTGTTGGGCAGATGCTCGACTGGATGGAGGAGCAGACAAACTCCCCAGTGGGGAGTGTGCAGAGGGAGAACGATTATAGGATTGATACTGGAAAGGGTGGACCCTGCTGGCCTGTGGGTGATTCTGAGGTGGGGTCAGCAGCCCCCGGGAAAGGCTCCAGGCTGTGAAGAACTCTCTTCACCTTCTGTTGGAGAAGCAGAAAAGTGAGCAGGGTAAGGTTATTTTAGAGGTAGGTAGTTTTTGAGTTTTATACTTTCTATTCACCTTATATTTTAAGCACCATTTTCATGGGTGTATATGTAATTTTAACATATTTATTGAGTTATAGTGGAATATAATATGCTTAATATATGGAAAGTATACAACATATGGAGTTTTTCCAGATGAGTGCACCAGAGAAGCTGTCACAATGAATTTAATGAACGTGTCCCTTACTCTTGAAGCCTCTTCCCGCCCTCTCATAATCTCTTCATTCTGCCCCTCTCCACCCCAAGCATGTTTTGGAGAGAATTTCAGTTGCTTTTTGTCATTGCAAATTCATTTTCATTTTCTAGAATTTTCAAAATTTGAATCATGCATTTGTAATTTCAGACGGACTTTGGTTACTTGACTCAACACGATTATTTTGACATTGTTCTTTCTTTTTAGCCTCTAGTCCTATTTCATTCCAAGGATGCATTAAACGTGTGTATCCATTCACCCTTTATGGACATTTGCATTTTTCTAAGTTGGGGCTGTAACACATAACAGTTCTATGAACACTTATGGAGAAAAGTCTTAAACTCAGTGAATTAGGTGCTTGTACACATATAAATAGCTAGAGAAATGGAAGTGAGGGAGTTACCCCTGGAAGTCTGGTCTGAAGGTTGCACGACCGCAGCCCCACCCAGAGGTACAGAAACAGCTGCTTCATCACATGAAGCTGTGTCTGCTGCTGCCCACCCAGCAGTCAACACAGCAGCAGAAATATGTCTCCATCTCCCTTCCAGTTTCTGAATTAAACACAAGTGCACCTCAGAGGCTGAATTTGATTCACATCTGGATTTTGAATCATGGGGAGTTGGGGAACAGTAGTTTTCAACGTTTTAGTCCCTTTGATATGAGAGGAAACATAGAAGGATGTTAATTCAGTGTAGATGCTAAGTGCTTATGAACAATACATGGCACGTCTGAGTTCACTTGCAGGCTGTGTGCCTCCAGGTCAGTGATCCACCTCAAGAAGACTGTTTTCTCAGGTGACATCATAAAAAGACATTTGGTCTTTCCTGGTTCTTAGAAACGAGGAGCTAAACCTTTGGAATGTTCTCTGTGCCAAGGGCGATGAGTGTCTCTGTCATGTTCAGACAGTCCTTGGCAGGCCTCTGGGTAGTTGCAGAGTAAGGGCAGGTTGGCAGAAACAGCAGGTCTTGGTCAGAAGGGTAGAATTTTAGCCATCAACAGAAGAAACGTTTCAACATGTAAAGAATTCTTATGAGTCTCTTTGAGTCAAAACTGACGACAGTTGCCAGGAAGCAAAATATCAGTGGCTTGAGAAAATGCTCTGGAGGATGGCAGTTTTGCACATGATTTTATACAGTACAGTCAAAGCCAGAGGCCTGAGGGGTTCCAGGAAATCCATTGGGAATAGATCAGGGAGGCAAGAGAAAGCAAAATACAGAACTTTCTGAGATTGGGAAAAAGGAAAAACAAAGAGACACATACTTTTTTTACATTCACTGGTACAGAGTACTTAATAGTTGACAATCAACATCATAACAATAACAATGAGGAGTTTGTGGTCTCTGGTCTGGTGCAGGGAGGGGTATGGAAAAAAAGAAATTTCCCTGACAGTTATGTATGTTATGGTAGAGGCAAAAAGACAATCAGCAGCTTCAGTAAGATAAACGTTGACAATTGTATAACAATGTACTGACCTAGGACATGACTATCCACCATGACTCACTTTCAGTGAAAAGTTTTAATTTCAGACCCTCTTCTCTGGTTACTTCAGGTCTCTGAGTTTGTGAGGCCCACCACACAGGCCTCCCCTGAGCTTGTCCGCTTTATTATGTGGCTTCTCTTTTGTCCACACTTCCACATTTTGGTCATAAATGAACCTAAAGGATGCATTGGTGACTGAACTTTTGGTCAGATAACATTGTCTTAAGGGCTGGGAAGGGACTCTTAGGAAGTCTTAGTGGCAGCGTTTGTCTTGCTGAACCATAAACCCTTGCAGATGCAGCAAGACCTTCACCTTGGATGGAAGTCAAAGCCAAATGTTCTCAGAGAAGAAAAGCAGGTACATGGGAGGCAGTGAGTCCCACAGGCCTTTAGTAGAAAAACACTCTGGATCATTGCTAACCTATAAGCTTTCATGATCTAAGTTGTGCTGTCTCATTTCTGTCTGTTTTGCATCTTGTGTAACATTTACTTATAGTTTGAGGGCACACTACACACCTCTTCAGTTTAAAAGTTCTCACCATGAGATGCGTTCTCAATTTACTATGGCCCACCTATTATTAACTATTGATTATTCATCTGATTTTTACTAGGTGTACACTTGGAAGCTGTAAACTTAAGGTTAATTTGGGCACCAGGCTGTAGGAACACAATGCTGTGAAGTACAATTACCATCTAAGAGCTCCACAGGCGAGGACAGTAAGTTTCATAAGTACGTTTCCTCAGCTTCAGGATCAGATATGGAGCGCCATGTTTTACAGGCATTTCAGCTTCCATTTGCATTAATATAGTTAGTAGTCTTTGTTGAGATAGGGTGTAAGGACATTCACATAATCAGGTTCTGGCATTTTCATAAAATTCCTTTCTCAATATTTTTATTCTAGTAAATATCTACAACTTTTTTTGATCTTCTTAGCTTTTACTGTCTCTTTTACACATTGAGAGATAATCATCTTATTAAGACATACAACTTACTTTTATCCTAAGTACACTCACATAGCCTTTTTCTTCATTTTGCAATAGTGTTTTGTCTAAATTTCCAAGTGTTGCCAGGAATGGGGCCAAACCTAGCGTGAGTTTGCATAAAGTCAATGGGCAGGGTGTAGGATCTTAAGTTTGTGCAGGAAAACTTTCTCACAACAAGCCCAGGTGAATTTGAATGTAAGTTTATTAGTCTAGGGGTATTGAAATAAGGATGAGTGTAGATAGAAAGAGTAGCAGAAGAGAGACTCAGCAGGGCTGCTGTGGCTCTCTTACAGCACTATGGGAAAGATGTGAGGCTAGGAGGGGCTGCTCTCAGCTTAGTGCACAGTCACAGAAAAGGCACCTTGGGGACAAGTTCAGGTTTGCCTAGGATAAAATGCCAGTGCTCATTTGTTTCCCTACTTGCAAACCTGTAAACTATATGGCAAGTTTTGTGGGGTCCCCTTAGAGTGTAAGAGAAGAAGAATTTATTTGAAAGAAGATGTGAGTAGGTGAGCCTTGAAAATTTCATGCTGCTTTCTTTGTCTTGAGGAGTTTTATTGGTTTCAAAAGGTAAAGATTTTTGGTGTGATTTGAGGGAAGATCTCAATAAAATATTTGTCAACTTTTTCAGGTGTGCCCTGGCAGGATCGTGGTCTCCACTAACTGCTTGGTGCCAGGGCAGAAGCTCCAAATCACATGAGCAGCAATGTGCCAGTGGAGGCAAGGCCACCCTGCAGACCAGGTCCAGCACAGGTGTGCTCATTGCTAAGCACTTGAGGCTTTTCACCCTGGGGAACCTTCCTGTTTGGTTGTAAACAGCTTACCGAGTTAGCAAACAGGTAAAGACAATCGAACTATTAAAGTTCAACATCCACTTGTAGGTAGAGCTATTGTCAGTATCTGGAGAGAGCCATGTCTGTCCTATGTTGGAAACTTCTCATCACTGAAGAGTGCAGGGTTTCTGTAAGTGGAGGCAGGTGCCAGAGAGGTTGATGTTCATTGACAGTGGGGCACCTGAGAAAGTTTTTTCTTACTGTGTTGGAGAGAGTCTTTATTTGATGTGTCTTCCAATAGACAAAATCATCATGGTCTTCGTCTTTCTCATTCCCTAGGGGTGCACTTGTGGAATGAGTATCACTTATAAGCTGTTTAGTAAGTTCATGACTATAAGGCAGAATGTTTGCTTTTATGTCCCTTTGTTTAGATGCACAGGGTGACCAGGGACTGTTTAATAAGGGGAAAAGCTATGCTTACCAAAAAATGGAGTTCTCAGGTTAAGGAGTATTTGGTCAAGTGGGATGAAAACTTCTGAAAATGTATTTAGTTGAGTTTTCGTTGTGTCTTTTGTCTGTTTCACCAATGCAGAAAAGTGGGGTGGAAGACACAATGAAAATATTGTAAATAAGACAAATATTAGAAGCACATTGCATTGTTTGCCCAGTGAGATGAGTCCCTCAGTCACTGTAACTCAGGGGGGATTCCCCAATTGGTGTTAATTTTTCCCAATAATAACTTACCTTTGTGAAGCCTGTTGCTTTCCTGCAAGAAAATGCCCCAATCCAGTGAGAAAAACATACAAATTATTATAATTAAGACACATTTGTGTTCTTGATCTGATAGCCTTTAAATAAACTTCAATTAAAATAGTTCAAGTGGTTCTGAAGAAAGTGGGAAATGTATTTGGGACCATTGAATGATATTCACAGGTTATATTTGGACAGATAGAACATCTGCCTCCCACTTTCCCAGCTACCTAACATAGGAGGTTCCCAGTCTACTGGGAATATTGTCGACTTTGTGAAATCACATTTTAAAACCTCAATGTTTTAGCTCACGTACATGTGAAAGTACAAGTAAATGAGTCCCTATAGATAATATTGGGTTTTGATGAAGAACGTATCTGTTTGTCTGGTTCAAAATTCCTCATATTTGTTGCCATCTCCCCTTTCTCTTTTTCTGCAGCGGTCCATTGGAACAGTAAAGGAGAATGTTTTATTGACTGAGTAGGAAGAAACAAGCATTCTCATGTCAAAATAATGGGGTATTTAATACTCCCTTTTTGGCTTCATCATCAGCTAAATATTTTTCTTTTGCTTCCATACTTTAGAATGTTCTGAAATGCTAATAATTGCCAATTGTTTCACTGTCTGTATAACATCTAGTAATTCTGCAGCTTCTTTTATTTTCTTAGTGTACTTCTCTGAGGGTGTTCAGAAGCCTCACCCATTTGCAACATTCTAGAGTTGTGTGCAACACCAAGGGCAAAGCTAGTATTAGTGCCAATATTAGCTATTTTTTTTGCCAATCGACAAATCCAAGTTAGAAAAATTAATTTAGCTTGTTGGCCCTTTACTATTCAGGTAAATGAATACTTTCATGTATGTCCATCATAGGAGTTATTGCACATCCAGTTTGGTTCCATCCCTGTTCCTCTTTCACGGGTCCATGAGTAAACCAAGTTAAGTCAGCATCATTGAGGACTTTCCTGTAAACCATTCCTCAGAAGAAGAAATACATCAGTGGGCAAAATGCAATCATGGATGTGTATATTCTGCAAAGAAGGTAGTGGGGTTACTGTGTCAAGACTGTTATGTCAAGTTAAAAATATTAGGTACAGAGAGGAAGAAACTGACAGAATTATTGATTGTGTGAGAATTCGGTAGAGATTCAACAAATTTAGGAACATAAACAAAAAGAGCCTGTAACTATCTTTCTGTCTGTTTGCATAATATATCAATCACAGAGATGACTGTCATGCAGGGAGGGATGCCTTTGGCTACTAGTCTAACTGCTGACTCTTATATCCTGTTGGTCTCTGATGATTTCTATTTTTTTGAGTTAAAACTTCCAAAGAAATTTTTTTTTGTATAAAAACTCTGAAAGTGTGACCTAAGGTGTGTCAGAGCAGGAGCTTTAAATATTTCTCTAGAGATTCTACAGCTTGTTTTCCTTTTGGGTTCCAGAGATGAATCTGGCCACCTGGACTCTAGTAGGACATATAAAGCCTGGAACATCAATAGAATTTTGGAATCCAATTGTGATGATATCCAGTGAAACCCAGGATCCTCTCTGTTGTGTCCTTTTATAAAACAAGGAAAAAATAACAGTCCTCTGAGTATTTAAAGATTAATGAGTACCCATCTTTAGACAGGAAATGGCCAAGATATTTTACTTGAGTTAACAAAATTAAAGCATACATTTTGAGAACTGATGCCCTTTTGTACCTAGCTGTTATAATAGGTTAATTGTGTCCTTTGAAATTCTAATATTTCCTAGAGGATAAATGTAAAACATCTACATATTGAATTAGAGTGTGATCTCTAGGTAATTTAACATTATTTAAGCCAGCTCTTAGTGTCTGGAAGAAGTAGTTGGGACTCATTGTATATCCCTGGTGCATTTCAGTCTAAGTAAATTGGCAATCCTTCCTAGTGAGGGCAAAGAGATGTTGACTTTTTTTTTTAACTTAAATGCTGAACAAGTCACTACATAAATACATTACTGAAAAATGTTCACAGTCCACAGAAGTGGCTGATAACTAAGTATTTGGATTTGAAACAAGAAGATATCTAGGAATAGTTATTTTATTAATAGTGTTGAGTTCCTGTGCAAATATGCATTCTTTTATATTTGGTTCTTTACTGGAAAAATAGGAGAATTACAGAAACTTCTATATGAAATTTTAAGTTCCTTTAAAAATAATTTTATATAATAAAATGTGGATTGAGCGCTGGCCTGCAAACCAAAAAGTTGCTGGTTCGATTCCCAGTCACATGCTGGGTTGTGGGCCAGGTCCTCAGTAGGGGGCATGTTAGAGGGAACCACACATTAATATTTCTCAGCCTTTCTTTTTCCCTCCCTTATCCTCTGTATAAAAATAAAATAAATAAAGTCTTTAAAAAGAAGTGTTTAAATCAGCAAGGAATTTTTATGGGTTTATTGTAGCCAATCTGATGACAGTGGCAAAGAAGCAGAATCTCAACGGATTGAGAAAATGCTCCAGAGAATGGCAGTTTTGCACTTTATTTTATACATTACAATCAAAGGAGGAGGCATGAGGGGTTACCTGAAGTGTATTGGTTACAGATTAGGGAGGCAGAGAAAAGCAAAATGGGGTAATCTTTGGAATTGAATGATAATTAAAACAATAGTTATGTACATTCTTATATTGTTGGGTACTCAGCAGTTAACAATTAACATGATATCAGTAACGATATCATGGGTTTTCTGGTCTCTGCTCTGGTGCAGTGAAGGATGAGAAAAAAATTTTAACCTGACATTCAAATGTATGATATTATAGATGCAAAAAAGACAGTAGAAAGGCTCGGTTGAGGTAAAGACTGACCTTTGTCTGGGAAGATATGAGCCTAAAACACATTCCTTGCCATGACTCAATTTTCATGAGAAAGTTTAATTTTCAGATCTTTCCATATGGTTACTGTTAGGTTTCTGAGTTTAGAAGGCTCCCCTGCAGGCCCCCTCAGTGCTGGTCAGCATGTGGCCCTTTTTACATTGGGCCCACACAGCCCAACTCTCCAACCTTCTGAAAGGGCAGAGGAGCTACAGGTAATTATCAATGACCCATTATGTAATCAATCATGTCAACATAGGAAAACTCCATAAAGAAAATCATAAACATTCCATTCAGAAAAATTCTGTGTTGCTAAGCACATAGAGGTGCTGGGAAATTGGACATTTCTTGAAAAATGAGGCAGCTTAATGCATCACCCCTAATGCCTTCCCCTGTGAGTTTCTTCCATTTAGCTGAGTCTGGGTTATATTCTTAGAACCAACCAGGAATAGAAAGTAAAGGTGTTCCCTGAGTTTTGGAAGTTTTTCTAGATAATCATAAAACCTGAGGGGGGTTAAGGTTACTCCCAAATTTTAAGTTTTGTGTTACTCAGCCTTGAACTTGTGGGGTCTTCACACTTTGGGTAGTTAGTGTCAGAACTGACTTCAATTGTCAAACATGTCATTGTAGAATTGGTTGTTGATAAGGAAAAATAAAACCCTTCATCTCTTATTAAATACAAAGGAACCTGGTAGTATGATGCTAACATTGATTATAATAAAGTATTTACTCTGCCTAAATTAGATGCTGAGGGAATTTGAAAATAGTTTACTTTCACTCCTTTTTTCTTCCAAAGATCTCTCATACCTTAAAAGGCTGACTTCACCCCATGTTTTCCTCTCTGTTTTCACCAAACAAGGCCTGAGGCAGTGTTCTCCATCCTAAGGGAAGGGAAGGCACAGGCCTAGGAATTTATACATACTGTTGTCCACCCTCCTGAATGTGGGTCTGTTTGCTCAGTCTAGACACCCAAATACTGACATCAGGCTGCAGGGAAAAGAAAAAAAAGCACATATTTCAGAGGAACCAATGCACAAACAATGAGCAGCTGATGCTCAAATACCTGAGCCATGCAGTGGTTTATAGTTAAGTTGTTTTAAGGGGACAAAGAGGAAAAAATCGTGATGAAGAGGTTTAGTGTTGTGGGCTCTGAAAACACTCACTTATTATGTAATTTCGATGATTTTTCTAAATCTGATTTCTTTCTTTCCTGGCATCATTTTCTCTAGGATCTTTGGTTATTAAGGCCCAGAGATCTGTCTTCTTGTAGACACCCCAGGTTTCTGCAACCCATTGGGGGATTTGTTGGTGATGTGACCTTAAGAGCAGGAAAGAGATCTATCCAACTAGTGCTTAGCAAGTTAAATACTTGTTTTATCTCCAGCAATATATCACCTGCAACCTGTTTTGCTGACAAGTGTTAGACTCCAAGTCATATCTGCATTTCTTTGTATCACACCTGTAAGGTAGTTTTTCACCATTTATTTTTAGAGAAAAAATCATAACAGCAAGCTATGGAAGGAAAAAAGATTGTTCTCTTTTATTTTTAACATTTCTCTAGTTGGGCTAATAATCAAATTAAGAGAGCCAAATTAAGAGAGGCAATGTAGAGTGTATTAGACAAATTACTAATCTGAAGTGATAGGAATAGACACTCAAAAAGTATTGGGTAGTTGAGGCTTATATGTTATTCTGAAGCTAAGGAGGAAAGAGGGCTGTGCTTTGAGGCTTCAAAAGGCAGGAAAGCCATTGCCATGGAGAGGCCACAGCAAATGTTTGGTAAATAAAATTTGCCCCATATGGCATGTGACTGACCCTCCTGGATGGAGCTTGTCCTTCACCTGAGTTTTTTCTAGGCAGTTAAGGGAGGGGGATCAAAGAAGCTGTGTTCTAAGTCTTTTGTTTTCCCGTAGCCAGGTCAAAATTCATTTCCTGCAAGGCACATCTGGGTAGGCGACCAGGCTTCCATTCACAGCAGAGACACAACTCTCAGGCTGGTTCCACAAGTTTTACCGAAAGCTTGTTTCTGGCCTGCCTAGTCATATCATTCAAGTTTTTGAGTACCTAAATTATTACCAAACAAGATAAAATACTAAAGCATTATTATGTTTTCTAAGTGTATCAACTTTTGACATCTTAGTACAGAAAATCTAAAAGATAAATTTGAATCTGCTTTTAAAAAGTGTTCCATGCTTCATTGTCCACAGCTTCACTCTGATGAGGGTCTTAGTTCCTCAAAAGAAACCGGCCCCGTGTGTCAGGATATCACCCAGGGCTGATCAGGAAGAAGTAGATTTTCTGTGACCCTGACTCATGTCTGAGGTCAGTGTTTGCACTTCTATCACTACTGCTTAATCAGTTTTTCACTGTGCTTTTACATGGCCCCGATTTTAATAGTACCTGCTGAGGTGGTGTCTGCCTGAAACCCCCAGTCACGTCTCTGTTGCTGAGGACCTGAGGTTGGATTGTGTCACAGAGGGGTGCCTGTGAGATTCAATATCACCCAACCACGTTGATGTGTAAATTAACCTAGTTCCAAAAATACATACCACAGGAATGCTCAAGGACAACCTTGAAATGACTGTAAAAAAATAAATGTTTTTATAAGGACCCCTGTGGTCATGGTAAGTTTGTTTCATATCTGCACCTTTTTTTGCCAATTTGAAATATTGTGTATAAGTGCTCAGAAGATGTTCTGATTGTTCATCCTTGTTCCATTGTTGATAC